GAGAGAGAAGAGGGTGAGACCTTAGTCAATGAGGTGGAGGAGATGAGTGGAAGAGGTGAGTTTCAGGAGGGAAGAAGGAAGGGAACTGTCCTCTGTTGAGAAGAAAGAAATGAATCTTTTCTTTGGAAGAACGATTTAGGTTCAAAGCACCTGGAGCTTGTCCCAGCCTGGGCTTACCATGGGTTGGGAATTGGTGGCTCCAGCACCCCAAGCTGAAGTTCTCGTGCTGATCTGCAGAGCCCCCACCTGCACCAAAGACACCTGAGGTGACATCCTTGGCCCCTTCCTTTGCATGTAGAGAGAAACAGGAATTTGGGGCCACGGGTTATGGGTCATGGGGTAATATCTATCACAGTCTGCACTGGTTTGTGCCCAGACCTGCCTGTTCTGCTCCTGCAGCAGCAGAGACTGCCAGGCTCAGGTCCAGGTGTCTGCACTGCAGATGTGCAGCCACCCACTGATGTGCATCCTCCTCCAGGAAAGGGGGGTCTCATTGGCCAGGGTGAATGCAAGGTCCTGGGGAGGGACAGGATTGGGGCAGCACTGAGGCTGGGGCAGTCCAGCAGTGAGGGCTTCCCCACCCTGGGAAATGGAACTCACCCTTTCCCTTCTCCTGCTGGGGTGGATGCAGCCCTGAGCCTGCCTGTTCTGAGCAGCTTCTCCTTCTCTGTCCCCAGCTGACGTGACCCTGGACCCAGACACCGCCAACCCCTTCCTCATCCTGGCTGGTGACCAGCGGAGGGTGGGACGGGGGGACGAGTGGACCTCACTGCCTGACACCCCCGAGCGGTTCGACACCGAGCCCTGTGTGCTGGGCAGGCAGAGCTTTGCTGAGGGCAGACACTGCTGGGAGGTGGAGGTGGCTGAGGCGGGGGACTGGTGGGCTGTGGGGGTGGCCCAGGAGTCTGTCAGAAGGAAGGGGGTCCTGAGCTTTACCCCCCAGGAGGGGATCTGGGCTGTGGGGCAGTGGTTTGGACAATACCACGCTTTTACTGACCCTGACTGGACCCCTCTGCACCTTGCCTACCTCCCCAGGGCCATCCAGGTGTGCCTGGACTTCAGAGACAAGCAGGTGGCATTTGCTGATGCTGAAAATGCAGCCCCGCTCTTTGCTTTCTGTCTGGCCTCGTGTCCTGGGGAGAGGCTGCACCCCTGGCTCTGGGTGGGGACGGGCTCGTGGCTCCAGCTGTGCCCCTGACACACGGAGGGAGCACGGGGAGACACCGGCAAGGCAAACACCATCGTCATGGGTCGCGGTGCTGGGAACTGGTGGGGTGGTGGGTCCTGCTGGCTTCTCCCCACGTGTTTCTCTGGCCACCAAGTAGAGGACTGGTGGGTCATGGACGTGGACGCCACCACAGAGCCTCCTTCATCCCGCCCTCCCCACGGCTGGGACTGCAGGGAGAGCACCAAGACAGAGCACAGAGGAGCTTGGTGCCAGGAGGGCCAAGGGCAGGCAGGTGGCACTGAGTGCCAGGGCACTGCAGAGCTGCTCTGTCCAAGGCCACGGAAAATATAGCAGGTAGTAAAAGGTGCTGGGGCAGTGTCTCGGGCTTTTTCATATTAAGATGAAGTTAAAAACCCTCAAGCATAGCTGGATGTTGATGATAACACTTATCTTCCCCACACATCCAAACCTCTCCTTGCCTCCCCTCCTCTTGTCACTGACACATGCACCAAGCAATTTCTTGCAGCAGGGCATTAGGAGTAGCTCTGGGGGAGCCCAGCAAGGCAGACACGAAGCTGAGCAGTGTCTGGAATCCACAGGAGAGGCAATTCCTGCAGATCTGCCGTTCTCTGATCTCTCCCCATCAAGGTCTCCTCTTCCTCACATAGAATAGACTAGACTGGAATATTCCAGTTGGAAGGAACCTACAATGATCATCCAGCTGCCTCACCCCTGCAGGGCTGACCAAAAGTAAAGCTTGTTATTAAGGCCATTGTCCAAATGCCTCTTAAACACTGACAGGCCTGGGGCACTGACCAGCTCTCGAGGAAGACTGTTCCAGACCACCCTCTTGGTAAAGAAATGCTCCCTCATGTCTAGTTGGAACCTCCCCTGGAACAGTTTTGAGCCATTCCCAGGTGTCCTATCCCTGGATCCCAGGGAGAAGGGCTCAGCACCTCCCTCTCCACGTCCCCTCCTTAGGAAGCTGCAGAGCAACA